CAGAAACAGACACAGCAACAGCTGAAGCTGTACGAGGTGAAAATCCCTCATAGGTATTAGCCCGGGCCGATAAATACATAGCCAATAAATTTTTCACGTATTCTTATTGCATTACGTTTATTATAATTTTTCATAAGTACATCCAAAATGTGAATAGTGCGTTTTTATCGCAATTTGCCACGAAGCTTTGAATCATCTAAATTAATTGGAATCGATTATGTTGTACAAAGAAATTTTTCCTTTAGATGGTATTAGAAAAAAGTTACAAACTAACTCTTTCTATTGAAAAAATGAGTTTATTAAAATTAGACATAAAATGCTGGTGCATATACAAGTGTATAAACTAATAAAAGAAAAAAATTCTTCGGTTTTTATCGTAAAACGTTGCGCTTAATTTTTTTTTTAATAGCATGTATAACCGAATGATGCTTGAGGTCTCATTTTTTATCATGAGTAAACGTATATATTGATGTAGGTATGACTCAACGTGTGAATTTAATACCCTCGCTGTGGATATGTATCTGTATCCCCTGCGATTCTCATATACGGCCAATTTTCTGTAAATTCGAATGTCAAATTTGTTTTTTGTTCTGATCTGAAAAACTTCACTAGTTTTCAATGTCACTCACCTTTCCGAACTTCTTCAAAATTTTTGGGAACTTCGGGGAATTTTCGGGGATTATCCTTTTTCAGAGGCTCGAAGTGAGAATTTCTCCGAAATTCGTGCTTCAATGTTTACTAATACCTTTTAAATACTTATAATCTTGACTAAAATCCAGTGGCCACGAAAATTCGAGGGTATAGAAGAAATTTTGAAAAAATTTCAAACCAAAATATTGTAGTCCCTCTCGATTCATAGACAATCAATCATATACTATATCTATTATACACCCGCACAAGCTGCGGTACCGCGACCGACGAATTCGAAGTTTTTTCTGTCAATGATTCAAAGCTCTCCAGGCACCTACGTTACGCACGTGTGTCTATGAGTGTGAGTTCGTATATATACAGAAAAATTGGCTAAAAAATTTTTCAAACCAGAGGTTGGTTAAAAAGTGATGGGCAGTTTTATAAAGGTACTTTTTCAGTATTCTTAAAAAAATTGTATAAATTGTTACCAAAAACAAGCATAAAAATTAGCGATTACTTTTTCAACCAGGCCATTGTACAACCATTTTGTTTTGTATGTGCCCTGTGTGTATGTGTGTGTGTGGAAATTCATTCATAACTTTTATAAATCTTTATCAAATTTTATTAAATTTAGCACATTTTTAATTTTTTGTTGATAATGGTTACTATAAACATTCTTAAACTTTTATTTACTTTTAGTAGAGTCTTGAACCCAAATGTTCATATCAATTAATAAAAGTTTATAAAAGTTGATAGAAGTTTATAAAAATGACTAAAAGTTAATAACATTTTTTAGCAAAAGACAATATCTTTTTTTCTCTATAATGTCCAGTTCTCTATTATAATGTATCGATGCGTGTTGGGCCTATAAAAATCGAGAAAATGTATAAACTCGTAAGCGATGTTACTCAATAATTGCATTTATGGGGGCGCAGCCATGTTTCGATGCCGATCCACGAGATGTATCGTTTTCTTTCCTCGCTCGCACGTCTATGTGTATATGTATGTTTTTGTAGATATAGAGATACAATCGCATGAAAGTTAATTTCGGCATCTAAAGTACTATGAATCGACGCGAGCTATAAAGTACATGCCCCTATTTTCGGTCAATAATTAATATTAGCAACTTAATTATACGTAAAAAAATTTTTCTTTTAAATTGGCTGAATGAGTCGAACATCTTCAACAGAAATGATATATTATTCAAATTCAGATATCAAGTTTCAATCCTATATAAAAAATTAATTCAAAGTTGACCGAAAATAGGGGTGTATAGCGCAAATCGCCTTTTTCCTCGACGCTAGCGTCATTTGTTTCTTATAAATACACAAAAAAGCGATTCGCGCGTGGAGAACCACGAACGCCTATACTTATATCGCAAAAGATGAATCCCTTGGCCCCTTTGAGTAAGGTAAAAACACCAATTATGGAACGGTTTTGAGGCAACTTTTTTTCAAACACGTGTATCTACTTGAAAAATTGATAAAACTTTAAAACAAACTTATCATTAGATGCGCTGTCACATGATCATCCAGCAGCTGACGAAAGAAGATTTATTTAATATTTGCTTCTTAAAGCTCGTGAGAGCTTTAGGCATTTTTGCAGCATTTTTGAACCTTAAGTATTGTTAAATTTTGTAAATTTCTACTGTTACATGAATAAAAACTTTGTTTTTTTTTGAAATTGTATTTTGTGTGAAATATTTTTGATGATTTCCCATTTTCACCAGGGTTGCAAAAAAATCAATTAAAAAACACTTTGAATCACAAATACAATTTATTTATGAATTAAAACTGTTTTAATTCACGAATAAATTTTGATTTTTGATTTTAATGATTTTAATTCACGAATCTATTTTGATTTTTGAATTAAACTTGTTTTTAATCATTCATGACTCCACTTATTCAAGTATAAAATCCATGATTTTATGATAGACCAATTATGAGATGTAAATTTTCAGTGAAACTTTAAACTTTATCTTCGGATCTAGAGGACTTAGCGAGTTTTTAAAACTACCAAATGAAAGTTATTTTTGTGTTTGTTTTTATAATTAACAATAGGAATTCTAATGTAGTGCAGCGAGTATAAAATGCAACAAATTGAAAAAAAGACAAATGCATTTTGGACTGCGACACAATGAGTTACATAAAGTAATAACAAAAAAAAACCTCATATAAAGTTATATCGTTGAAAAGGTCTTGAAAAGACAAAAAATCTGTTACTCGTGCGTCTGTAGCTGTAAAATTGTGCAACGTATTGCCGCTCGAAGATGAAAAAAAAAGATAAAAAAATTTTCATTACATCCATTTTCAGTCTTCCTTTAGCTATAATCCAGGTTGAATGTTTCGATTTAGCATAAACGCCATCGATGTGAGTTACCTGTAGTGATGAATAAAATTTTTAGTTTTTGATTTATAAATATTTCATAAATTCATTCAAACTTTAAATGGCATTAAATCAATATATTTATTACTATACTTATTATAAAATTACAACTATACATAATTAACTAACAAAATTAACTTACAAAATTAACTTTGACGTATCCTCTTACTCTATCAGCATCTCGTCCCTATGCAAAGACTTGTATTATGTCTCCGGTATCATTCCTCAATAGGAATTTAAACAAGTTATTCCCGCAATTGTCGACACCTTGTACAATCCCAATAATTTTACTGTAAATGGAAAGTCTTTTACTTTTAAGCTACCTTGAGAGTTTAAATAAAACAATACTCTTGCAGTTGCACCAGGTCGTCGATCTGACCCCCTATAAAAACTTCTTCGAGAATTTTCATTATTTTTGGGTTTTACCGACTGGGTAAAAGACGTTAAACCACAATTCGTCGACCTGGTGCACCAATAATAATAATTATTTCTCATTCCGTATGCTTGTGAAGTAATTGATATATTATTTTTAAGTTCTTATCGCAAAACTTAAAGCTTTTAAAAATACTCAAAATGCCTTTACTCGTGCGTTAAACATATAGTTCTAATCATATTGTGAACGATCTGTATGCATCTAAATCAAATAGACAGTCGTGTCGGTAACTGGGTTGTTAAAATAGGGTTGTATTTTGGATTAGCATTCTGCAACTGGAGTTGTCCCTAGTATTACATCCATTATAAGCATTTGAACTTGAAATCATTGCTGACGACAGAAAATTGTCAAAAGTTTACAAAATTGTTAAAAATTGACAAGGAATTGAAGTTATCGCTAATAATGTTCAAATTATAGACTTGACAAAAAAAAATCCTCCCCGGCGGGGAATCGAACCCCGGTCTCCCGCGTGACAGGCGGGGATACTTACCACTATACTACCGAGGATTTGAAAATCGGAGCGTGCAGGTGAGTAATTCGGAGCAATTCCGACTCCAAAATAAAAAACTTTAAAAAAAGAGTAAATAATGGGGCCATGAACAAATTTGGAGCAATTATAACTCCAAAAACAAGGAGCCAATAAGTTATACAACCATGACCAATTCGGAGCAATTCCGACTCCGAAATAAAAAACTTTAAAAAAAGAGTAAATAATGGGGCCATGACCAAATTTATAGCAATTATAACTACAAAAACAAGGAGCCAATAAGTATACGACCATGGCCAATTTGGAGCAATCATGACTCCGAAAAATATACTTCAATAATAATTATCTGAGATTTACGGCTGTGAAAAATTACTAGTCAATGCGACTACGACAAATTACGTACAATCACGGCTTGGAAGAATTAAGATATATCAGGACTCCAGAAAATTTTTTCAAGGGTAGTAGACGACCTCGACGAAATTCAAATGAATCTTTGAGGTCGACGTGTCTGAACAAACTGCTGAAGTTCGACGCTCAATATTTGTTTGACTGCGATATACAAATAGGCAGTTGGAAATAGAATTTTAAAAATTACTTATGTTTGCTGCTCACTTGTTCATTTCAAATATGTTATTTCTTTTCATAATTTCACTATTTTTTCAAAAATATTGATAGTAATCAAGAGGGAGTTTAAATAGTTGATTAATTATTATTTTTAGAAAAGTAAATTACTTAAATTAGATTACAACTATCAATATGTAAAATTTTAAAATAATAATTTTCATTTCTCTTGCGTTTAGCATTCTTTTAATGTCTTCAAGTAAAATTACTGATGGTCTTACCAATCATCCAATCGATTACATTAATTAAAACAGCAAAGTTTTCATAATAATGAATGTTATTTTAAATATTTGGAGCAGACCATACAATTAATTTGTATCAACTTTTGAGGATGATTACTTTGTAAGGGTATGGTAAATATTTACTGTTGTTGTCATGCACATTATGTTAATAGCATAGTGGAATGTAAATGTTAATAATGAATGCTAGAAATACAATAAAGAATTACTTGTCTAATTTGTTTTATTTATCAAATATCAATTTACTTAATTAACATTAAGTATGATAATCAAAACTGTACAACTTATTATACAAATTTAAAAATTATTTTTCAATAAAAATACATTCTCAAAAATTAGATTATGTTTTCAATAATAATGTCAATTACGACATGCTTTCAATGAGTGAAGCACGCATACTAGTAACTTGTCCACTGGCTTGGTCTTGCAGCTTGAAAATGTTTTCAATCACTGAGATTTCTGTTGATGTAGTGTCCATACCACAGAAAGAAATCCAATCGTTAACAACCATGCCACCTCCAATGACTTCGCTACCTCTGTTAACTGTGCCAGCAACCAATGGAATTTGAAGCAACGACGAGAGTTCATCTTGATCCTGTATGGATGTTTTAGGGTGAACCAAACCACCTTGATTCGAAAGTACTGAATACGAGCCAACGAGAACATTACTGGCTATCGTCTGTTTGAAAACCTCAACCTGAAGGGTGTCAGCGATGATTTCTTCTGTCTGGGGATCCAGATCAGGATGTACCAAGGCTACGTAGTCATTGCATGATATTACATTGCCCAGGGCAGATAACCTTTCTTCCACTCGCCGGACTTTAACTGAATCTGGCAGGCTGTTTCTTATGTGCTGCAGCTCTGAATCTGTGGTGGTGTCCGGCACGAGCAATCCATTTTTGTTAGCCACGCACATGCGTCCGATTATCCTGCAACCGGCCAAGGAGGTGTGAATGACGGGAATGGCCTCGTCCAGCTCGGCCTCGAATGCACTGTAAAAATTCTCACTGCCGCCGATCGCAACCAAGCAATAGGCGTTGGTTAATTTGGCGAACACACCGACCTCGTTGTTATTTTCGAATTGCACGCGTACGGCCATGTTGTAAAATTCACAATGTTTATACAGAAGCAGAAATGTAATATATTTTAATTATCACACGGTACAACTCTTAACCAAAAAAGCACGTGTGGCGACCAGTACTAGCTTATTGCCTTGTGTATGGTGCAAGAAGGCTAGTTCTATATATCGCGTGCGTGGAGTGTGTGGACTGAGCGCGCGCACGCACGACGCAACTTCGTAAGACAGCGCCACAACGATAGAGGAGGCAATTTACCGAAGTTCAAAAATGCGTTGCTTCTCTTCCACTGTAATTTAAAAGGAAAATCTCTTGAAGCTATTTTAAAGAAAGTGCATGCCGTGGTCTCTCTCTCTCTCTCCGTCTCGAGGCTTTTGTGAGGCGAATTGCAATTAACTGTGCGACGGGGTCGGCGAGCTCAGATGCGTTTCGCTGAGGGTGCCGAGCGCGAGATTGTTCCACTTCTGCTCGATCTCTTTCAGGGTCATGTAGCAGTCGCCGTTGTCGCTCTCGGGATCGGGCAGCTCGTTCACCGGCACGAGGATGTCGTCGATGGGCAGCTTGTCCTTGCGCCACTCCTTGTCGATCAAGTCGAGCAATCTGCCGTCGCCGGTCACTTGACTGTCCATAATATATCGCTCGACTGTAAACGCGAGAAACGGCGGTCCTGCAAGCAAAACGTCAATCAACAATGTTAAAATCGCTATACTTTAAAAACTAACTGAGTTCGATTTTAATTTTTTTTTGTCGAACGATCGATACGAAGTAGTAGGGGATGCAGAGCGAAAAATGAACATAAACTTAATTTATCCCAAGACACAACAACATCGATGCAGTCGAAGGTATTGTATAAGGTATTTAAAAAAATCAGCGCACCGTGTTGTGTTTATACTTCACCTCCTAACCTATTCGTTAGCGCCGCGAGACGAAAAGTCAACGAAAGCCAATCGATTACGTAAAAAGGTTTGAAACACAGTAACACGCAATACTTTATGTCACTCGAAGCGACAAAAATTCGCCGGCTAGTGGAATAATGTTTCGCTCACCCTCTTGTATTACACAAACTGCAGTCCTCCTTGTATGAGATATACTGTGCGACCGAATTATTCGTCTGCTAAACGGTTGTTGCGGCGCTGAGCGAACACGGGGAAAAAAAATGAATAAAAACGATTCGCCGACAGGCGACAGCTGCCCCTCTCCATAACTAGGTATAGTTGGTCTTGTTCGTTGTAAAAATCGTCGAATAAAGCGCGTGCCTGTTCGAGAACGTGATCTCATGATTGAAATGCAGAAATTATATAGTCAAACTCGGACTAATTTTTCATTTACCAAAGATTCCTCTGCAATCAAATTTTTATACATATTAAAAAAATTGTACTCAATCGTTCCCAGTATTGAGCGAAATAACACTTAAAAACGTTTAGATTTATCTTCGAGTGTTTCTATAGTAAGTGGATATTTTCTATTGAATTTGTTTTTTTTTTATTCTAGTTATCACAGTAATATTAGGGATGACAATAATGTTTTATAGAAAATTGCAATTTACACAATTGTATTTGAACAAATACAGTAAAATAGTTAAATAGTTAAATAAAGCCTAACGAGGGCCGCCTGCGTGTATGACATACGCGTCCTTAATAATAATAGTATTAGCCTAGGCTACTGTATTATAGCGTAATCAGAGCCCGTAATTTGCTCCGTTTACGTTTTCGAATCGTTTTACACTCGGTGTACATAATATATGCGAGTATCTTATCGATAATAATATACGTTATTAACGAGCGAAAACGAAAAATCGCGCGCCGCTGCAGCTTGCCGCACGCAAGCGCCGTAAGAACGACGTACGCACTGCATACTGCATATATTTTCGCTCGCTCGAACTGCACAAGTTCTCTCTCTCTCTCTCTCTTTCTTCCGTCTTCCGTCTCTCTGTCGCGCGCTATACATATATGCATTTCTGTCTGCATTGGACTGCCTACGCTCCTATGTACCTACTGGCATGCGTGCATGCATGCAGCAGCAGCAGCAGCAGCTTCGGTTTCGCATCAGTCGCTGGCGATGCCGCGGCCAGCAGCAACCCGCGCCCCGGCCGCAGCGAATTTCGCAGTGATCCTCTCTGCAATATATAAGAACGCGCGCGACAAACCTTTAGCTCGCGTTCTCTGATCCACCTTCGATTTCGTGGCCGCACGCACACATACAGACAAACTATCACACACACATACACGCACACATACACAGGCGCACGAAGAGGAGTCGCGCGTAATAAAATCATTCTATATTATACTGCATCATATATCGCATCCTCGAAACGGGTTGTGCGTCGTATACTGCGCTCGGTGGTGTGCTGCACTGCACTGTGCTGTGCCGTGCACGCGAGCTGAATCTTTCTGCGCGGAGTCGTGCGTGTGCTCGTGTGTGATTAAAATACTTATCGATAGTGCACCTTCTCATATATGGTTTTGCAAACCGTAAGTATATACGAGTCGCAATAGTAAAGATTTGTAGTAAGTAGTAAATAGTTAACGATATAAAACGTATAGTACCGCGAGATAGCGTAGTGGCGCAATAAAGATTCGGTGCATATGTCGCTGGGCCCGCATAATGTTATACATAGTAGCATTTACGATGCACCGTGCGCTTGGCGGCGGCGACAGTGAGCCGAGTGCCGACGACGATGAGAAGAGGAAAAAAACGCGTCGTCGTCGTCGCTGATTTTGAAAGAGCGGCACATGTCGCCCTGCTGCGTGCATCGTAATCGTGTGCAGTGTATTGTTATTATAATAATGCCTTGCACACAGACACACAGTGTGCCGCGCGACGATAAGCCGGAGCTTCACGCGCGCGAAGCGGTATTATAACAATGTATGCATGGACAGACAGACAGATACCTCGCGTTGCTGCTGCAGCTTTAGTGCCTTCGCGCCTGCCATGCCATTATGATACATAAAACGCACGATTTCGCGGTGTAAACACAAACGACGACTTTTGTGTTCACAGACGACGACGACGACGACGACGACGACGAGAGACAGGCGGCACAGAGAGTCGGAGTGCCAGAGATATCGTATATATTTTTATTCATACGTGTCTGAGTTGGCTTACGTATGCCGTGTATATATGTGACACAACGCGATCGACACTCTCGACCCTACCAAAAGACCAGAGAGCTCCACGACCTCGATGAGAGAGAGAGATAGAATACGACACGCGTAGACAGTAGACACACGACTGTGACGACTGCCGGGACGACTATATTTATATTATAACACGCGCGTGCGACACGGCACTCGTCTCGAGAGAGCCGACAGTGATTGAATCCTTTATACTGTATTATTGTATACGTTTTTGGTGGCCCGTCATCTTATGCAGAGCTTGTCGCCGCCGGGGATGGACCTGGTGTCGACGTCGTTGCAAGCGCAGCAGCAGCAGCAGCAACAGCAGCAGCAGCGGTCGTCCACGCCGACCTCGCCGATATCGACCAATAGTCAGCCGTCGGCGATGACGACGACCACCGCTGCCACCGCCGCCGCCGCCGCCTCCGTGGCTGTCGCCGCGACGACGTCCGGACAGCAGCAGCAGACCACCAACGCTACCGGCACCGCCACCACCAACGGCGTGCACCTGCCCGCGGACTCGGCCGAATTTTGCGATCGCTGCGCCAAGACAGCGGCGATCGACTTCGCCCACGGCTTCTGCACCTACGTCAATAGCCACCTGTCGGAGCAGGACAGGGCCAACCTGTCCTACAAGGACTTCCTGCGCAGATTCGTCGACACGTTCTGCGAGCACTTCGAGTGCGAGTACGCTCAGCTCTTAGTCAAGTGAGTCCCCCCGCATTACCCAATGATAGTTCATTTGCTAGATGCGTATGATGAAAATGAATAAAATCGCCTCCCGTTCGAGATTTATTGTAACTGGAGTTGCGTAGCTTTGGAATTTTTATAACTGGCTCGCGATGATTGTGTGTGAGTGTCTGTGTGTGTGTATGTGTTTGTAGCTCTCATTGAAGGTGAATTGGTTTCACAGCAGGAGTATACATTCTATAGATAGTTGATGATTTAAAGAGAAAATATGTTCAACGAGAAATTTAATACATTTTTTTTTTCTTGGAATTGAGATTCATTGGAGTATAATTTTATAAACTAAAACTCCTGAAGCATAGCTTCAATCAATGATGAAAGAAGATCAAAAATTTGTATCCATTAGTACTCAAAGCTCAAACATTTTAATGCCATTGGGCTGAATTATAGATTTGTTCAAATCATTTGTCCCTGAATAAATCATTAATTTGTAATTGACTCACTCGAATGTACTTCTTCTGTGCATTAGCTGTCATTACATTCACTTGTGGGGCTCACTTACCAATTATACCAGTTTCAGACGCAATAAAATATAAGTGGATAAGTTTGATACAATTACTAGCTAAAACTGTTAGGTCAATAAGTCAGTCAATACTCGCTGATACTTTCTCAAGTGATAATTGATAATTAACTGTTTTGTTGTTAGAATTGTATTTTTGAGATTTTACTACTTACATTTGAATCTCAATTGTAAGTAATATCGGTTGTTGATTTTTGATAAAATATATTCACTTGAGTATGAAATCTTTTGATAACTTATCAGTATACTAAAATATTCTTATCTGCATAATCCACTAAGCAATGAAATCTTTGCTTTGTCACCTCATTTGAGTTGCAAAAATATGCATAAATCTTGAGCTAATTTTTTTAGATAAGAATTTCACTTCATCTGACATTCTTGTTTGTTTTTGTTGTTGCTTTTATTGCTGAAAACATTAAAAATATTAACAATTTTAAAACTCTCTGTATATAGTTATTTTATTTCTTTGGAACAGACAATTTTTTAAATAAAATATTTTATTTTAATTTTCAGTATGCCAACTACTAGTAATTTTCCAATGTCTCCCTTACCACTGACTCCAGTGAGTCCCTTGACACAAGATGAGAATACCACTCAGTCTGGAAGTGATGATAACCATGTCACTTCGCCTAAATCTAGAGCATTCTTCCGTAGACTTTCATTCAAAGGTCTTAGAAAGGGTAGAGGTCTATTTCAAAAATCACCCAGTCAAGAAAAATTGGCTCTAGAACGTCACATGGAAAAAATGGCTAAAAAGTTAGCCAAAATACAAGTGGAGTGTCGAAAAGAAGGAGTTGTCAGTGCCATAATTATTGAAAATCATTCAGAACCTCAAAAATTAGAAAAATGTAAACTTATATTAGCTAAGGCTGATGCCGGCTACTTTATGGAATTTTTCACAACATCGAAAACTAAACCAGTCTATGGTATTCTTATTTCAAGTATTCTTGAAGTTAGAGAAACCACTCCACTAGAAATGCCTGACAACGAGAACACTGCAGTGTTAAAAACTGCTGATAAAGAAATAATTATTGAAGCAAAAGACAATCCAGAAATCAGGCATTGGATAGCTACGATTAAGTATTGTATAAGAGAAACTTATGGGTATTATAGTGACTCTTTTTCACATGGTACAAGTATGAATTTAGAAAATGAAAGGGCAAGAGCAAATTCAGCCAGCAAAAGTACTAGATCTGCCGCTGATCAGTTAGATGAACATGGTAACCCCCCAGAATTGCCCCCCCGAAGAGCTAGAAGCAATAGTAATCTTGAACTGTGTACCTCGCAACAAGAAATAGATCGAAGTAAGAATTTTTTGAAACTTTTAAATGACTTTTCGGATGTTATATATGAAATATTAATCTTTGATCTGAAACTTTTTCAAATTTCAGTGAATTATGACACTGAAATGGATTTAACCACCACCTTACGAGAATTCCCTTGGTTCCACGGTTGTATACCAAGAGCTGAAGCTGCAAACTTGGTTTTACACAAGGCAGAAGATGGACATGGTACATTCTTAATCCGACAGAGCGAAACGCGTAAAGGCGAATATGTTCTGACATTCAATTTCCAAGGAAAGGCAAAGGTAAATAGATAATTTCAAATGTATTTTAATTTTTTTATACTTATATGTCAAAATTACGATTCCTAATACAATGCATCTATACTAAATTCAAAACATTATTTCATTACAAAATTAATAATCGATGAAACGATTGCAGCACTTGCGGATACACTTGAATGAGATGGGACAGTGTCGTGTGCAACATCTTTGTTTCCCGACAATGTGTGATTTGTTAGAGCATTTCCGCCAACACCCGATCCCTTTAGAGTCCGGGGGTACTGCTGATGTTAAATTAACGGAGTACGTCGTGGCCCCTCGGCACTTGCCACATGCCCCTCCTGTTACGCCTTCGTCCTCCATGCCGGCTATTGCCTCTGCCGCTGCAGCATCATCGGCCACCACCTCGGGCGCGTTCGTATTATTAGCGAATGCAACGTCGACGTTACTCCAGCAGCAGGAGCAAAATCGCCAACAACAGCAACAACAGGAAAGGCGACCCGCTGCGGCTATAGAGCTAAGAGAAGTAAGAGTGAGCAGCGGCATTCAAAAGCCGCAAGAGTGATGAGAGCACGCACACTTATTAACGGACCGTGAGTAAGCACAGACAAAACAATGGTGATGGTTTTCAAATCAGATGAGTGAAGTAAATTTTTAATAAGTCTCGTTCATTATTTACCGCGTTCAGTTGCAGGGGATGGTAAAAGATGAAAATGTGGATTTGGCTGTTGCTTGCTCTTGTTGCATAAAAATTCTTGGCATCTTAACTTGAAAAATTAAAGAATATTGTGACTAAACAATTAATTGAATCAAAAACTAATATTTATTGATAAAAAAATAATGAGTCAAAGATCAAAAACCATCTCGATGACTTGAATCAAGCTTTTTCTACAAAGTGTGTGATCGTCAATAAATCTAAGTATTGAAATTTCACTTTTAAACGCCCTAATAGCGTATTCAATAAAAAGCATTGATTACGTTTCAACTTTATTAAATTAACATGTATTTAATAGTAAATTTTATTTCGTGAAACACAAACACTATCTAGATTGGCTCTACTTTACAATTAAAAGGATTTTATTTTCTAAATGAAGGTACAAACGTATGGTGGTTCAATAAGGATGCGGGCTGAGTCACTGGAACGACTGGAAAATCAATTTCAGCAGCAACAACAACAACAACAACTTCAACAACAGCAACAACAAATACCACAACAACAGCAGCTGGCTCAAGAAGCTGATGTTTCAACGAGTAGAGCAGTTCAAAATGCTTACTGCTTCCTCTGACGCTGGATGCGAAAAGCTGGGTATCGCCCTGTTACGTCTGACTAACAGGCTCGTAACTTTTGTTCGAAAGATTTGGAAATGGGATACTGAAGTGTTAGTTTGTTCTTTTAATTTTTATGAAAAAACTAGAAAAACTGATTCATGAGATTTTGCGAAAACATATTTGGCGAGAACGAAATTTTATTTTAATGTTGCGCTTTTAATATTGTGATTTTTTAATATTTATTAAGACTATTTTAGAATAGCAGTCTTCGGTTATTAATAAATTGAGTTTTTATTAATATATATTTATAAATATATATACTGGATATATGCAATGGACTAGTAAAGCACATATACAAATGACTGTGATTTAAGACTCTAAAATATAAGAATTTTCACGAGAAATAGTCCAGTAGAGTGTATACATAATGTACGGTATGTGTACCTTGGGGGGTTTAGGTATACTTTTTCATGCAATTTAGAGATTTTAAGTGTATTTTAAATTAATTGTTTATCATCAGACACTTCAGTATAACATTTTTCGATAGCCTTGACTAATTAATTTGTAACAATTACAAAATTATAAATTATTTTAAATAGATTAGTTTTGTGCGATATTTAATTAACGAAATTCATGTGCAACGAGTATATCTATGTATTCATGAGTCATGATACTTGATACAATATCATTTTTCGAAGTTTTTCATACCGTGAATGTTGCTTATTGGCATAAGAAACTTTTAATCAATTTTATCGACAATGTACGTTAAGATTTACACGTACGTGTCTGTGTTACGCTCTTGTGCATTGTGTGCGCTTATTCAAAGACAGTTTAGTAGACTTGTAATAATTGACATGTTCGATATACATAATCGTGAATCTATCTGTGTTACTTTATTATAATTATCAATATTCAGTTTATGTACCAAACAATAAATGTTTATTCCTTAATAGTTAACAAATAATTAAAATTTGATCAAGATAAATAAGGCCATAATGAATATTAAATGAATGCAAAGCTTGAAAAATATTTTGAAGATTTACAACTTCGTGATAATGTAATTTTTCGTGCTTACTTCAGCTGAAAGTAAAGTTCCCCAGCCTGCGGGCATAACGAAATCGTGACTTTTTGCTAAAGGTTTAACGAAAAATATTGTACATATCTGAGAAAGTAAATAACTATGCTTTGGATCACATGCTTCTCAACATATTTCACCGTTCACATGTGATCTGATATATTTTGTTCTTTACCGCCTCAGATACGTAATATACTTTTTGCTTTTTTTATTCAAGTGCTTTAAACTTTCGATATTTTACCTATTAAAAAAAATAATATAGAAATGAACGACGAATAGATAAATGAAATACAATTGAATTTTGGTGTCGCATTGTCGATATAAGAAGAAGTGTATATTTTTTAAAAATAACTATTTTACTGTAAAATAATACGTAACTTTAGAATGTATTTTAGAATTAGAGCAGTATGAGTGTAGAAAACAATGTGTATTTATAATGTGTATGATAAGAAAGAGAGAACGAAAACGAAAAAATGCCATAAAATGTAACTGCAGTTATGAAATTCCCTAATCATTGTTACTTAAAAGCCATGACTTTTTTTACTCATTTTGCATTTTGATCTTATCAATCTTTAACATTGATATGTTTTTTTACATCATCTACAAGTCATATTTTCAGAATAATAATTATAAATAAAAATTGTGTTATTTGCATTCCGGGTTTTTAAATGAATCTTTCTATTGTTGACATAGTAATTATTCGAATTAATAACGAATAAATCTATATAAATTATATGAGATTAAGGGCATTGGTGCCTTGATGGAAAATTTATTGATGAATTGTAATTATTGTACAGTGATTCAATTTACGTTTCGGTACTATTGTAAAATCAAAGAAAATTTAATTGAATGCAATAATAATGTTATTCTTATTCTTTAGTTTTTTTTTACAAATTACTTGAAAGTAATTTATGACATGCTGTGACAACATTAAATATCTTATTATTTTTAAGGCCTAAAATAATTTTAACTTTGTTTAGGTCAACTTCTTCAATGTGTTATTAAATATTAAGTAAATAATTTTTGACTATCCCTTACAAAATAACTATTTACTTTAAGGGAATTTAAGCTAATTTTATTTGATTATACTCTGAAATGTGTATAAATGACAAAATGCGCTATCGAAATTATGAATGAGAAAATTTTTATAGTATGAAAATCTCTACTCTTTTGTTAATATTATAATTTTTGAATATATCAATAGCGATGTTGTGTCCTAGCAATACAGTGAAACTTTAATTTTACTTGAAAAAAGAAACTCTGCATCAACTTTTACTATAAAATTAAAAAATTTATTTTGTTTTTTTAAAATATACATTAACAATGTTGTCACAGAGTGTGGTGATGTATTTGAGAAATTAAAACTGTTTAAACTTCGTGTACAGCGTCATCTAGTCTGAATAAATGCAGCCTTTATAATATTGGGTTCATTTTTTTTACCTGCTAAATAAAAATCACCCAAATATTTTAAAATATTTATAAAACTTAAAAAGTACATTATTAGTCATCATCATCATTGATTAAAGGCGAAATCTGAAATAAATATTAGTTTTTTCAATAATTTTCCAACTAAACAAGTAAATTAATTGGCAGTACTTACATAATATTCAATAAAACAATTTACTCCATCATCTGTTTTTATCATATACTGAAAACATAGAAGGCCCGACTCATTTGTCCTCAAAGAAACTTTGTTAGAACAAAGCATGGCTTTCATGGCAGGTTTAATGTGAGGTAACAGGTACTTTGATTTGGCTTCTTTTTTACATTGAAAAGTTTCAATCATTTCTGTATTATGAGGCATTTGTACATGACATTCACCAGCGAGCCCCTTTGTACTTATCATAAAATAGGGTGACTTTGGTGACAACAATAGCTGAATATTGAAATTTTTTTAAACTTTTCAAATATTTATAAATAAAAATGCTAATGTGTCATTCATACCTCTAAATGATTACTTGTGGGATCAAGTTCTGCTAAAACATCTTTTAACAATTCACTGTGGAGAAGTACTTTATTAATGACAGTTTCTGGATCTAAATCAAAATCTAAAATTTCATCTGGTTCTTGAGTTTTTAATGAACAATCGACTACCACACCATCCTCTTCAATAAGTATAGTTACAGGATGACCTACCCCCTAATAAAAAATTCTATCAATAAAAATATTCAAAATTTCTACTTCTATAATTTGAGTATTTACCTTGTAATGCATTTCTAAGGATGTAGTGCTTCCTGTTGTATTTATATTAGACCAAAACATAGACAAACATTCAACAAATACATTTAAATTAATTCTAAAAATGATATCCTCTGTCAAAGTGTATTCTTCAAAAAGTTGAATTGGAATGTAGGCACTAGCTTGCATACATTTTGCTTCTTCAACCGTTAATTTCAAGCCATTTTTAGAACCGTAGCAAGTTGCACTCTAGAAATTTTTCATTTATTATACATTTACATCAAAGAAAATTCTTTTAATTTGGTACATACTTCTTTGAAATTAACAGCTCTCAATAACTGTATAACTGTTTTTAGATTGCCTAATTTGGCGATCAACTTGTAATCAGTCGTCATGATTAATTATCTGTAACCCTTCCTAGCAGTATTTCGCAGTACTTTGATTCTGGCAATATTTGAACATTCAAGTGGCTATTACTGACAGAAGCTAGCCAAACCGCTAGAACATGCTTGCAAGTAAACGATTCTTGATTTTTCAATACATTTATTCTAAAGGACAAACAAATAACCAACATTAGTATATTTAAAGTTCCATCACTTCATCTGTATTCGTATACTTGGCCTGAAGTACTTACTCGAATGCTAGACACGGACAGTAATTGACACTGGAAAATATCGTATAAACTTCAGTACTGTGTCCCTGCACCTCGTAAAAGCAGCACTCGACTTTTTCTGTATTATTATCCGTATGACGCGTCGATTCGAACTTGTAAGCCGTCACCTTGTTCGCCTCGAACAATTCCAATGCTCTCTCGAAAGTTGGTCCAAAAATGTAACGTAGCTTCAGTAAAATCGCTTCGGTAACTGGAAGTAATAAAAAAATAAATGAAAGCTCGATGAAGTTGTTGTCAACTATTATTGTCATACGCTTACACTCCTTCGATTTGTTATATTCTTCGGTAGCTTCTTTGAGTACTCGACGTACGGCAATTTTGAAAGAAAAATCGAAAGACGCCGCTTCGCCGTCTGTCATTGCCATTCGATCATGACGACGGCTCGATCGTGATTCCGTGAGATTTTTTTTCCAGTTATACGAGTGCAGTTGTCAAATTGGCAATTGGGGATAAGCTTTGGCGGATATATAAAACTGCGACCGAGCGAGCAACGGAGGCCGGAGCGCAAAATAAACACGCGGTCGTGTCGCCGATAGCAGACCGCTTTAGTGTGAACTTGAAAAAATTGGCAAGATGGCGGGAAACCGCGCGATGCCCCGAAACCATGAACTATGTAAAATTTTTTGCGAAAATCAAATCTTGACTCCTGAGTTTCGGTAGTCTTTTTATAACGAAAAAAATTGATGAATCGTTCATCGAACGCGTGCCATACCGAAAATGTTCAAAATTATCGATTTCTATATGAAAATATTGACACATTCGAGCGATCGATAAAGCAGAGAGCTACAACAGTCATGTGTGTTATATCGTGCTGTGCAACATGCGATATCGCGGCCGCCGCACCGCAGCTCGGCGCAAAACAAGGCAGCCCAAGTACAGTGGCCGTCTACCCGTCACAGTCTCTTTCCATACTACGGGATCGATAAAACACACACACACACAAACACACAGACAGACATATACTTGGCTTTTTTGACGGGACACGGGAACTGCACGCAGCACATTATAGGCTGCTGCTGCTGCTTGCCATCCGCAGAAAAGCAGCGACTCTGGCAGTGTGTTTCGCTTCACGACTCCGTGTAGACCGTACACATAGTACACATATATATGCAACCTAAATGTTATCGTACGCATCCTCTCTCTTTTTCGATCGTAATAGGCAGCGTTGAATAGCGGACCACATAGTGTGTGTGTGTGTTTTTTTTTCGTGACTGGCGAGCGCGAGGAGGAGAGCGTGGACTGTGCATGTCAGTCAGTGTGCGCCCGCGTTGTGTGTGTCTCACTCTCTCTTGTATTATAATATATCCGATGTAGCCAAGTGGTGTGCTATAATGTTATGTTTTATTCGCCTCTGAACGTGTCTCTATCTTCTTTCGGTATGCGTCATCGAGAGACATGAGCTGCCACTGCTCGTCGTCGTCGTCGTACGCTGTTGAACTTCTCTGCTGCTGCTGCTGCTGTGCTGCTACTACTACTACTCGCCGTGTGGGTGCTACTACTACACAAACAACCAAGTTTTAATGCATAATTATATTAATGCAAGTTGAATAGTGCGTTGAAAAATCGTGGTGCAAAGTGTTTGTAATAATATCAACGCGAATGTGTGCTACTGCTGCTTATGCTGCTTATGCTGCCGCGTTATGGTCAAGCTCAATGGTAAGGCATATCATCATTTATACCCTACTGGCTTATTATAATAAATATAGAACGCGATGAAGAAAGTCGTGTAGGCTTGATACTATCTACACACTGGCAGATTGGTGAACGTGCGATAGGCTGGGTGTGATTTTTTCTTTTTTCTTCTTTTTATTATATTGTAGAAAAAAAAGAATGTACAGCGGTGAAGTTTGACTACAGCTGAGTGCTTTCTATGCATGACATGGGTTGTCACGATGAATAGATTGTGTGGTTTTTAGCTGTTTGTCTAAAGGATACTTTCTCTGATAACGCATACTCTGAATCATTATTCAATTTGAAGCAAAATGATTTATAATGGTTTTTTTTTGGGAACCTTGAAATGTTTTTATATTCAAGTATGTGATTCAATGCACAGGAAGTTTTATGAACAATCTCTTCAAGATATAGCGTATACTGTGTGCTAATTATTTAAATACATATGACTATTCACTAGGAAGTCGTAAAGTAGTTCCACAAATGTTTAATAACAACAATGAGCTTCATTGTTTACAACTATTTTTTTAAATATGACAAAACTTTACTGTAAATCTTGAAAATCCTATGATTAATTATTTCACTGACATCATAGCAATAAATCACTAATTAATGATAATTTCAGATTATCTGTATCAAAAATTTATTAAAAAAAAATAGTTTTGATGATAATAAGGTCATATTAGTCGAGATAACAAACATAGTTTGATAAAAAATTATTAATTAACTATTAATTTATGATGCAATAGTAATCTTTATACATAACTGGATACACAATGCTTAAACAGACAATGTTATCATTTTTTCAAGTGTCATTGAACTAATTTTGTGCGTTCCAGTGGTCTCATTGCAAGTTTTAATGTCATTATGTCAACTATCGTTCGCACTATAAAAATCACTTTTCTCTGGATATATAATTAATCTGAAATATATCCATCTGATTTAAATACGGTAAACTTGCTAGAGCACCCAGTTTTATTAATTTTCTCCTCTGTAGCTATACGATCAAACACCGACAAAATAGTTCATAGTAGATAGCATTCCCAACATTCATTTAAATGAAAAAAAATTTGTGTATCAATTTGGCAGACGATCTGAGAAGAGTCGCGTCGTTATCAGCCAGCGGAACGACGACATTCGCTCCAAAAATGCCAGGGTCCACTCCACGCGCTTATCATCGTCGTCGATGACCACTTGAGAGCAAAAAAACCCGCAGAGACACACCAAAAAAATTTCGATCCGTCCGAAGAAATCGATCTTATTGTACCAAGAACGTATATAATCTAAGGTGATAATCCCTTCGTCTTCCTTCCGCCAATCATCAACAAAAAAAGAAAAGAAGAAAAATGAGCTCGGTGTGGAAGAGACTGCAGCGGGTCAACAAGCGCGCGGCCAAGTTTCAATTCACGGTCTCGTATCACGAGGCCGCGCTCGAAACCACCACCAAATGGTAAGCAAATAATCTCTCTCTCTCTCGATGTCATGACTCATTGCTTCGAGCTGTCAAAATTTTTTTCTTTCAATGTATATAAGAGAGCACACGATATAAATCGTATAAATAGACGTCGGACGTCGAACGAGACAAAACGCGCATTATGTGCGAAACGCTCTCGCGCCCACGCGCTCATATGCCAATGCACGCAGACACTATGCACAAACGCTTACATTATAAATTTAGAAAATTGCGCTGCGCAGCTCTAAAAGGCAGGAGGAGAGTCTCTCAAACGGGTACCTTGTGTTTTCTCGATAAACAATAATATAAAGCGCGAGACTGTTTTTGTCGCTCGTGCCGCATACGTAATATTGTGCGCGCACACCACGCAGCTGCACACAACTCGATTAGAAAACGATTCTCCATTCTCTTTTATCTCGTGAATTTTTATTTCCTTTTCTTTCCTTTTTTTTATTATCTCCGAGGAAATCGTTTTGTACTGTATATATAGTAGCACGCACGTGCGTAGCGCGTGCAGCGGTACACTAAAAAAAAATATTCATAAGCTTTAAGCTTTCGCCTTGAAATCAGGTTCTAAAGCATGTGCTCTTTTTTACATGTCATCGTTTAGTTATAAAAATCCCGACGCAGAGACTCGAACACGCTCGTCGTCGGGGCGCGATAAACAAGGAAAAGTACCGTAATAAAGCGCAAAAGTCAATCGTCGCCGTCGTCGTCGTCGAATATATAATAATGCGCCGATGCTGTATTACAATGAATCGCATCGTGTGACGCGAACCTACCGTGAGTTCGATCGTCGTCGTAAAATACGGAGAGCGAGAGAAAAAAAAGCGAAGAAGAAGAAGAAATAACAAATCGTCGTCGAGTCTATATTAATTATTCGTTTGCGAGAGTTATAATAACGACTACTTCGCACATCGATGACTATTATAGATATATAGATTTGTACGCGTGTATCCTCGGCGATAATCGGAGTCCGCACGTGTATTAATAGCCCACGCGCGCGCACACAGTCGGGAAATGCAAAAACGCAAAGCGTTAATGCTGCTATTTTCTCGTTGCTTATATATGCGCGCACACGCATACCCGCACAAAAAACATCGTTCGTTCATTCGACCTATTGTTTTTGCTTGTCTCTCTCTCACTTTTTTTTTTCTTCTTTTATTTTTTTTATTCGGGCATTTGACGTAGTGTCACAGCAGCAGCAGCAGCTGCTTGCTTATATTATACGATCATCGATCGAGGAATACGATGATTATACATCAAGGAAGAATTCGAACGAAAAATACATACGGGCGCTGAGCAGAGGGTAATTGAACTTTATTCGTACATAGCGGAGTATGTTTGACCAGCCGGTTCAATCAGCTGCAAGGAATCTAGCTGTCTATCGAAATAATCCGCGCGTCCGTTTTATTTTTAGATCACAACACACACACGAGGAAATTCCTCGTTGCAACGAGCGCGTAAACACGTGATCGCGTTATTTACACCAGTATACTGTCTACGCGGTGAATATTATACGAGACCGATTTGGAAAAGCGCGGAATTAGTTGTACAGATCGCGAGAAATGATTGTTTTACCCGAGACCCTCGTCGATTCTTTTGTTCGAAATTAGCCTTGTGCCGAGCTAAGCGTGAGGTGTTTTAATTGGAGAGAATGCGCGCTTTTATATTATCGTTATTAATTGTATGAAATATTGCAGGAACTCGAAATATTTGAACGCCAGAAATTACTACTCCCCACGTGCTGCTATTGTTGTGTACCGTATACACCTGCTTTTTTTGTTGTTGTTTATGTTTGGGTGTGCGCGAATAATTACAGTGGTTAAACTTTTGCATACAACGAATTCCGTCGTCGCAAAATAACTATACCGTCGGATTTTTCTCTCCCTCTTTCCTTTTTTCTGTGATTTTAATTAATTGTATAAAAAAAGAACAAGTTGGCCGACATTCTAGTACAGAACTGACAAAGATCAGCTCCGATATTATTATCTCTCTCTCTGTCTCTCGTGAAAGCAGCGCGATAGAAAGTTCGCGCTCGCGCGCTCATTTCGAGTGAATTATTGCACCCAACAAAAGATCGTGTGCCGTATAACAGAGACTTGCCGAGTAAGCATGCACGAGAGCCCGATAGGATGCTACCTCTCATCTTCAACTACTTTTTTTTTCTTTTATTATATTATTATATTGCCTCCTCAAAGTCACCATTTAATACTATATGTACTCGGAGAGCTTTCTTAGAATATGGTTTTGGTGTAACTTTGTTTTTTTTACACTCGTTACTCTCGTTTCGCGCGTACTACGCATTACGTCAGCGAAAAAGTGTGTTTCATCAAACTAAGTATACTCGCGTATACATTATAGCTAATATGATGTATGCGTCTGCACGTAGCGACGGTAATTGGTAATTTTTTAATTTCGAAAAACGCGTGTATAATATACAGCTCGCTTATGCACGCGGTACGATACGCGACGTTGCGCGAGCGTAAATTTTACTTAGAAATAATCGCACTTTTCTCGAGTACAACGTAATAACTCGCCACTGCTTTTTTTTGCTTTTAAACGGTCGTAATGAATTTACGAGAATTTCCAACTCTTTTTAAACTCTATAAACATCGATGGTAACATTGCGTGTGCGTGTGTCGCGGCAGAGAGCAACAACCCCCTGATATCACGTTACATTGTATACGTTTCCCTGTTATTCACGCTCGCAGGAAACCGAACAAATTGAGCATAGTGTGGACGCGACGAAGTCGGCGCGTGAGCACGGAGCCGCTGGAATGGGAGCCGAGCCTGAGCGATCCCCTCAAGGGCACGATCAGCTGGCCGGTGCCGGACAATCATTCCGTGTCGATAACCCTTTTCAAGGACCCGAGGACCCACGAGCTCGAGGACAAGGACTGGACCTTCGTCATCGAGGATGTTAGTATACTTGTTTTTTTTTTATTTTTCATCATCTTAAAATTAAAAATAATAATAATAATATGTGTGTCTCTCGCTGTACACAGATCGCGACGACGGGCAAGCGGCGCACGGTGGCCGCGGCCAACGTCAACATGAAAAAGTACGCGACCCTGGAATCTAGTCAACAGCCGCTCAAGCTGGAACTGAAGCCGACGTCGAAGAAGATCGTGAGCGCGAGCCTCGACTGCACCATGTCGTGCGTCTTTCTGCGCGAGGGCAAGGCCACGTGAGTTTTTTTCCTCCCTTTCCTTTTCCTCTCTAAACACTGCGCCTTACAAGATCGAAACATTCTGTAACTCATCTGTCTCTTCTGCAGCGACGAGGACATGCAGAGTATGGCCAGTCTGATGTCCGTCAACAACAACAGCGACATCGCGCCCCTCGACGACTTCGACAACGAGGACATACCCGAGGACAACGAGGAGGTGTCGATAAGGAACATCGACGAGATACTGGACATAACCGCGGAGCTGGAGCTGATGACGAGCAGCCTCACCGGAAGCGAAATACCCAGCACACCGATAAGCGGTTGGTCTCGAACTCTCGGTTTTTCCGATAACAACAATTTTGTTTACGCTGTGAAAAAAAAACATTATTTTATTTTCATTTGTGCACAGTGGCGAGTCTGTCGAAGGACGAGACCACTCCCATAATCGAGGACCAGAGGCAGTTTCCGCGCGACATCAGCTTCGCGAGGGACAGAGTGGACACCATCGTCGATCGGCCTTACGCGATCCATAACGACTCGATGCAAAACGAGTGAGTATATTACGCCACGCATTATATACATTATATAGTTACGCACGTATCGATTTCATCGATGAAAATTAATCCACGCGCGTTACGATTTGCTATGTATAGTAAAAATAGCGAACGCACGAGCAACGTGGACAGGCTGCTGCTGAGGCCGTTGGACCTGAAAAAACCTACGGCGACGTCGACGACGACGACGGCGGGATCGGCCACGGGAGCGCCGAACAATCATCATCAGCGCATGCGGGACATCACGCCGGGCCAGGATCTGCTCGAGTGGTGCAAGGAGGTGACCAAGGATTATCAGGGCGTGAAAGTGACGAATCTGACGACGTCGTGGCGCAACGGCATGGCTTTCTGCGCCGTGATCCATCACTTCAGGCCGGATCTCATGTGAGTAGTACGCGCGCGGGCAGAATTTGCATTTATAACGAGAAGAAAAAAATAAAGGAGAGCGTGGGTGAAAAAACTTTTTTTCGCTGCTGCGCGCACACCCGAACGTTACTACACGCTCTCCGCGATATAATGGTTTCAGTCACGCGCGACCTCGACCTCGGCGCTCGGTGCTGCGGCGTACAAGAGCTTGTCTTTTGATTTCGATCATCGGTGTTATGATTATTATTTTTCTTGGCTATATATGTATTTTCACCCTTTAATTTTGCATTTCGTTGCAGTGACATTGACTCTCTGCTGCCGCACGACGTCAAGGGCAACTGCAAGCGAGCCTTCGACGCCGGCGAGGCGCTCGGAATTCCGCGCGTTATCGAGCCGGCCGATATGGACATTCTTAAGGTGCCGGATAAGCTCGCCGTCATGACATATCTCTACCAGTTGCGTGCTCACTTTACGGGTCACGAGCTCGAGGTAAGATTTGCCCCATATATTCGAGCTTATGTAATAATATCGTATCGCTCATGTTTTTACAAATTTCTAATCGCGTTCGAAAATCTAATTTTAATCTCTCGTAGGTGCATCAAATTGGTAAAACTACCGACGAGTCGTCCTACATGATAGGCCGATTCAACACCGACAATAATTCAGACGTCAGTAATCAATTGTTCGGACAAGAAATTATCAATATGAAGAAAGAGCAGAGAAACAATAAGAATGAAGTTTACAGAAGGTGAGATATTTTGAGCAATTTAATTAATTGACTTGCAATCATAGATTACAGAGCTTATCTAATTACATAAGTGACGTCGAACAAATATTTTCTTTCGATAGATCGAATCCACTTGACAATATAAAAGGGGAAACGAATATGGAGTCATTAAGGAATAAGTTACATTTAAGTTTGAGTTTCGATCATCAAGACGACCAATTCAATAAAGATAAATCGCCGACCAGTGTCAAAGACGTCAAGGACATGATTCTTCAAAATTCGAAAAACATCCTCGGAAAAGTTCTGTCGCCCACCAAAGAAAAGTTCTCCCGAGAAAATTCTCTGCGTGATAGGGTAAGATCTCGTCTCGATTGCTTAAATTTAAAAAAAAAAATCCATGAAATTTCTTTCTTTGCACAAAATTTGCAAAAGCGAATGAAACAAAAAATAAATAAATTCACAATAGAGTAAGTCCCCGACGCCGCAGGCGCCCCAGCAGACGCTGCAGGCGTCGAAAAATAAAGTCGTGTCGCGACAACAGTTGTCCGAGCCCTTCGGCACGGACGACGAGGAGGACGAGAGTAGCCACACCGACGAGGAGAAGATCTCGAATTCAACCGTTATTGCCCAAACACCCGTCAGTATGCATGCCTAACAAAAAGTGCATGAGAGTTTACTTTTTCTACTATATAGTGTGCTGTGTTTTGAAACGACTATATTGAATTTATTTTCTTTCCGTAGTTTGAGATCAAAATTTTACAATTTAATACTTAGTTTTGTTTTGATTTTGCAGTAAACGTGTGCTATTATTTAGTTAGATCTTCTTATCGCTCGAGAATTTACAATTCATCAATTTATCCATAACTTTTATCTACTTATATAATATATTTATCTATTTACATTTTATTTCATTGTCATGACTTATCAGTCTTTAACTTAACACCGTTTCAAGATTCTAATTGCGAATGCAACGAAATTCGTCGCTGTACCGTATCCGTGCAGCATTATTTCATTCCCACCTTTTTATCGCCCTCTATCCATTTCGAGCTCTTTCTAGAGTTAGCCAATAAATAAATCAAATCTAATGCGACCGCACCCTCTCGACTCTATAACGATTTCCTCCCCTCTCGTAGAGCAATAATTCATTGTTAAAGGTAACCGACTACTTTGCGTAGACTACATATTATATGCCAATAATACGATTAGATAATAGTTCATCTTTTTTTCGCTATAAATATTCCATTCAAAAAATCAGTTAATTACTAACTATGAGCGGTGAAATTCAACTTTTGTTTGCTTACAGGAGTCCGTCCATTCGGCTGATCGTGGCAGCCGAGCCAGTTCCGAGTGTCGAGGCGTATCACCCTCGCAACAGCAGGATGACCAGCAGCAGCAAGAGCAATCTCAACAACAAAAGCAACGAGCGCAACAACAAGTGATTATCGTTTCTGCACATTACTTTTTATATTCTCCTACAATTTGTGTGTTCTATTCGCAATGTTACGCGTTGCATATATTATATATACGTCCCTTTATTTTGCAACTAAGCACGTAAAACAGCACTTGTATTATTTTCATTCATTTATTTATTATTATTATTTTTTAAATTATATTTGAGGACTATGGGGGAGTATTACGTCCCTATTTCGCTCCAGAAGCAAATTGCAATTATTACAATTGGAGTAGTTCATGTACACACACAATGATTCATAAGCAAATACTTTATGAATACGTTTGTTATTACTTTGCACTAATTCGTTTGATTTTGTACGTTTGTTACGCACTAAAACCAATAAAAAAACACACTCGCACACCAGAAGCGCCGGGAAGAACGTTGCAGAAAACTCCTAGAACAAGTAAAAACCCGGAGGACCGGTGTAGGCCGCTCCTTCCTCTCTGCCACAAGTCCTGTTAAGGTTTGTTTTTGAGTTGTTGACCTTTTTTTGCTTGCCTTTTTTTTTCTTTTTTTATTCTGGTTTTGGGGCTTGACTTTTTTTTCTGCGATTGCACGTGTCCGAAACTGCCTAATCCTGTAGAAGAGATGTAACTATAAAATATATAACTTGATTCGCACTCAGGTATGAATATCGCACCAAGTTCAATGTAAATATGTACGGACATCAAAACAATAACAGTAGTTTTGTATCGATTAGTAAAGATTAACTAACGAAAAATGAATCGTTTATCGAGAGGCTCGAGTGCCAATCCGCATACTAAATTTCGCACGTGCCTCCTACACAGAATCAAAACGATGCGGAGCGTCAGCAGCAGCTGCACGAGCGAGCGCGCAAATTACTCGCCGAGGCCCGAAGGAGCGCCTCGCTCAACAACAGTCTCAACGGCACCGACGACAACAGCTCCTCGGATCATCAACGGTCCAACGACGAGCTCAACAACACGAACAGTCCGAGGCGCAGCATAACGCCGTCGACGCCCGACGATCGTATCAGTATTAAAGTACGTTCAAATTTTGCGATCTTATATGGTAGTGATGATGCGAATCGATCTTATTTTTTGTCTTTTTTTTGTCTAGTCCGAGTACAATGGCAATATCGTGAATCGTTCCATGTCACCTGGCGGTGAGAAAAAATTGGGCTCTCCTCTGCATTCGTTTTCGAAAATCATGGAAAGGATCTCTCCGGAAAAGAGTCCTGACGGAGGACCGTACTTCAGAAGAGGAGTAAGAATCGAGACAATCATTTGTTATTTGAATGTACTTCAGAGTTGAAACTTTTATTTATTTTTTTTTATGTTCGTGTGCACTTTCAGTTGGGAAAAGACATGTCGTCGTACATACAAAACGAGCTAGAAGCCCTTGAACGAGAACAAAGCCAAATAGACGTGCAGGCGGCTAAGCTCGAGAAACAATTGAGAGCGGCTATGGAAAGCGACAATGAGGAAGAAACAGAAAGGCTGATGGCACTGTGGTTCACTCTCGTCAACAAGAAAAATGCTTTGCTCAGACGGCAGATGCAGCTCAATATTTTGTAATTACGATTTTTTTACCGAAGAGTTTTTTCAGTCGATTTGAAAACGCAATTTTTCTAATTATACTCGTATGCTTCTTTCCCTGAACAGAGAAAAAGAAGACGATCTGGAGAGGAAATTCGAACTATTGAATCGCGAGTTAAGAACCATACTTGCGGTCGAAGACTGGCAAAAAACTCAAGATCAAAAAGTTCGGGAAAATTTATTGCTCGAGGAGTTAGTCTCGATCGTTAATAAAAGAGACGAGCTCGTGCATCACCTTGATTCGCAAGAAAGAGCGTAAGTTTTTTTTTTGATTGTTGCTTTGCATCTTATACGAGAATAATCTTTTAATTACGACCTATTTTTATAGAATCGAAGACGATGACGAAATAGAACGCGAACTGTCCACTGCCGGATTAACGCGAGAGAACCAGAAATGTTCCATTCAATGAGTGATCGTCGTAGCAATGGGTTTTTTACCTCGAAATCAGGGTGAGTTTTTATCATTTCTTTACATATCTCTTGTTATTGATTACTTTAATATCGATCGTCTTGTTATGTTACAGATATATCTTAAAATTGCTTTAGATTTGCCAAAGAAAATGACATTAAGCTTGAACATTGATGTTAATGCAATAGATTGGTGTTCGTGCGCGCAGTGATAATACGCTTTTTTTCGAAAAAAAAAAATGATAAGGAGATAGAATGCATATTTCGAAGACGTCACGTGAAGAATGAAAAGAAAATTGCACGTTGTGAACAATTCTTTCTACATTAGAATTTAACACCGCACTTTTATATCTTCGTATTTGCAAAATATTAAGATTTAGATTTCAATTGAGCCGTTTGTATAAAAACACTTGAAGGCATGAGAAGTTGCGATAAATGTGATTTTTGTTCATCACGCAGAGAAGTGCGCACTCATTTATTATTTACGATCGAAATTCAGTCACACATTACTCGGTTCTTCGTCGAGAAATCAACGACTCGAGCTGTATTGCGAGCGTAATTTCTGCAATAAGCTATTATCTGTTCATAGCGTAATTTCATAGTTTCGTCTTCGTCAACTTGCATACTCGACATTGTGCCATATAGATTCTATATATATACATTTACATACGCGAGTATATTTATGTACGTACGTATGAAATACGAGTAATTCGTGTACTCGTAGCGTGTAACGTGTACGTGTGTTTTATCGATTCCGTATATGTATAAGCTCATATGTATACACACATTGCGCTGCCGTTCATCGTTCTATTCAAATTTTTGATGCAAGACGTTGCAATGATAATATAAATTTAACGTAAATTCGTCACTCGTGTGGTCGAAGCTAGAGAGCAAAGTTCAATGAATATTATATTTTTTACTACTGGTTTCATACTCAATCACTAAGCTTAGTAAATATTATTTTATTTTGTATCATGTTAATCCATCTCGTATTACGAGCATGTATCATTTATGTCCAAGAACACCTTGATGTAAAGAAATGAATTTTTTTTTCTTTTTTAGTTCAAATATCAGTGCATTGTGTTATATTTTAGGAAACGTTGATAAAACAACTAGGTAGAATATTTCGTTGTGTTAAATTCTGCTTACCGGGCAAACTATAACTTGTTCAAGTATAATTTGTGAATAATTTAAGAGTCTGTGTATAAATACTTTTAAGTAGTGGCTTTGGAAAATTATTAATAGTTAAATTTTTGTTACATTATCCGTGTGACACTTTTGATTCATAATATCAATGTCACCGGAATTAGTATTATTTCAGTTAGGTATTCAACTAATTAAAATGATAATTTTTTTTGTTGAGAAAATTAAAAAGAAAAAAAACAAACTATTATTTATAAAGTTTAACATGCTTTGCATTTTAAATGTTAATAGGAATTAAGTTATCGCAAAAAATTGATTATAAAATATTCTTTAATCAGAATTATTTAAAAAAAAACATTCTTATAAAACACTATTTAAATTATGTATAAGAAATGTAACCAATCCAGTCCAAGCATTCATGCTAAAAAATCTCTACACTTGTAATCGTACGTGTAAATACATAAACTCGCACATGAACACGCGTACATAATTACCTATAGTCGCAAATCAAAGAAAAGAAAATCACAACATTAGCTCGTTAATCCAGTGCCTAAAAATAATGAAATAAAAAATGTCGTCCTAAATTAATCAATATTTTGCTTACATTTTTTCCTTATCATTTTTTGACTCACTTTATCATACAAAAAGTGAATTCAACATCTTGCCCAGTGTTTAATCAATCAATCGCGAGTGCAGTGATGCAGTGAAGTGTATAGGCGATCAAATAAGTGATATGAAAAAAATGAAAAAGTATATTACCAAACTTAATAAAGTCTTTACGAACATACAATATAAACTATTTATGAAAATGAGGCTCAATAAAAATATTGAAAAAATAATTGTATAACCTGTCATTATTTTTAAATGTAGATTTGATTTCCAATGGCTCGGATCTGAAAGATGGTGGTTCAGGTGAGAATCGAAACGACTGTGATTATCAATTTGATCGATTTATTTTGGTAATACAGTTAAAATACACCTTAATTTCAATCTTAACTTAAATATGTACATAAAAATTCTAAATTCATTCAATAAAAAATAATGTCTAGAGCAGCCTGATATCGCTACATTTCACGATTTTCAACAATGTGATGTCTTGGTTTTTTTTCACAGAAAAAAAGAATCTTTGGAAAATGCGTGTAAATAAATTATCAAATAAAAACTTTAAAAAATCGCCATAGAAAATAAAATGTTAAACATTCTGATGTTATACAAAAACAATGAAAGAAAATATATTGGCAGTGCACATGATGTCAAGGTTGCCAGAACCTTATACAATAAACTGAAAAATGCGTGTACGATCCTTTCTCAAATATTTGTAAAAAAAAAAAGATGTATCCCAAAGAAGGGCACACGGTTCGCTTTGCTGTCACATAAATTCACGTCTTTGGATGTGCTCTCAATCGTTCAGCCACTTCATATTTTTTCTACGTAATTGGATGGGAACAGTCCTATCTTGCCCTTCAGTCTTCCCTGCCACCAACCGCCTTCGTCTGTAAACAAACGCGACAAGAATTAATCGACGTCGAGGCAAACTCAATCATCGGATACCGCGTCTAAATACTCACGTTGTTTCAACACTTCGACGATGTCACCCTCCTGCAGCCCGAGCTCGTCGAGATCCTGCGGACTGTAATCGTAGAGAGCTTTGACTTTCGGCAGACTCGGTAATTGCGGCTTTCTTGGGCGTGGATTCGGTTTGTCTTGACCGTTATTTTGGGCATTGATATTGTTGTTCTGAATTTTCTGTTGCTGCTGATTTTGCAAGCGATGCTGACCGTTTAGCGCGGCCGCGGCGGCCACGGAATTCAGCTGCGGCAATCTGAAAGCCGAGTGGATCGTCGGCTGATTCGGCGGGGCCGGCTCGGACGGCGGCGGCGGCGCCTTGATCAGTCCGCGATGCTGCGACTGCTTGGCCGCGTTGGCCAGCACGGCCATGATCGGTATGCCCGCGGATTGCTGCAATTTGTTGGGCTGCTGCTGCTGCTGCTGTTGTTGCGTCTGTTGAATCTTATTGGCTGCGGCGGTTTGCTGAAAAACTGGCCTGTTGATCGGTAAAATTGGTCGTCCGTTGGTCACCTGCGTCGTTGGCTGTTGTTGTTGTTGCTGCTGTGGTGGCTCTTGATCGGGCGTATTGGCGTATCGAGCTGGCTGTTGGCCGTTACTTTGTTGCACCGAGTTCGCCGGTGCTCTCTGATGATTGTTTTGATGATGATGATGATTATTGCCATTTGCGACAGCCCGATTCGCGGCTCCGTTCGCGTCGTAACCCGTGCGTATAGTCAGCGGAACGCCAGGTTCTGTGCAGAGGATGAAAAAATAATGTTAAATAGGGTAGTCAGACCAATCAATGACCGGGTACCAGTGAATGACCATTTTGAAAAATATCATATGAAAAACAATTAAAAATATATTTGTATGGACGTAATTCAATTCTTTAGTGAACAATGCATCTCGTTTTCTATGTTCGATCATAATTTAACAAAGAAAAACGATACTTATTGCACATCCAAAAGTGGTCATTTACTGGTCGAAAGCGTTCAATCACTGGTATAAGTACCCTAGTTTTTTTTATTATTTTATAGGTAATTGATATGAACTTACTCGATATAGCGGGTAAGCCAGGACCGATGCTGACGGTGAGTAGCTTGCTGCTGGGCGTGAGTATCTCTATGTCGCCGTAACCGTTCTGGACGAATTTCACTATTCTCGTACCGCCACCGCCCCAGCCCTCCTTTTTCACTTTGAATTCGATTCTGTAAAGTATAAAGTTCCTCATTTACATTTCTCAATTATACACAGAGCAAAACTTGGAAAAATTAGCCAATCAAAGCCCTTCTTACGCATTGCCAAATTTGATGATGGGTGAGTGGCCCATCTTCTCGGCGAACTTCTTCTTGAATACGGACAGAAACTCCGTCTTGAAAACTATCTCCAGTAGACTGGCGTAATCCTCTCTCGTGTGAATGACCACGAAATTGTCCTGGAAAGAAAAGAAAAAAAATCGCGTCGCGCGCGCATTTTTGCGATTAATCAGTGCGCTGCTGGTCAGCTCGCTGCTGCTACGCGCATCATTGAACACACAACTCTCTATATATACATATCATTGTATATATATGGGCTATTCCACAACAGGTGTTGCAGGCCCAAAAAATGAAGTTGAAAGTAACCATTTACTCTTCAAGAACACAATGAAAAATGAAAATCCTGAAGGGCACAGCCCCCTAGGTCCAACCCTTATGGATCTACAGGGGCTCAAAGTTGGATTTTCATGGTATGAGGATATTCTGCTTCTTACTCTGCTTTTCTGGGGGGACATAAGAAAAAATTTTTAAACCATGTTTTTTCATGTAAAATTTGATGTAGAATTCAAATCTGTACTCAGATGAGACATTAATAACCTCAAAACCCCTTGAAATAGAAAGTATGGTGTAATAGGACATAAATGTCAAAAAAAAAATATGTTCGTATACCTCAAATCAGCCCATATTGTAATATGTTCATCGATACACCAAAATACAACTTCTGATAAAGTTTGGTAACTGAGTCTCCATTACAGACAATTTGGTAGCTAGCGAAGAGGCAAAAAACATGGAAAATGAGGAAAAAACCATGTTTTTTGGGCTTTCAAAAGCTACATAATGATCTGTAATGGAGACTCAGTTACCAAACTTTATCAGAAGTTGTATTTTGGTGTATCGATGAACATATTACAATATGGGCTGATTTGAGGTATACGAACATATTTTTTTTTTGACATTTATGTCCTATTACACCATACTTTCTATTTCAAGGGGTTTTGAGGTTATTAATGTCTCATCTGAGTACAGATTTGAATTCTACATCAAATTTTACATGAAAAAACATGGTTTAAAAATTTTTTCTTATGTCCCACCAGAAAAGCAGAGTAAGAAACAGAATATCCTCATACCATGAAAATCCAACTTTGAGCCCCTGTAGATCCATAAGGGTTGGACCTAGGGGTCTGTGCCCTTCAGGATTTTCATTTTTCATTGTGTTCTTGAAGAGTAAATGGTTACTTTCAATTTCATTTTTTGGGCCTGCAACACCTGTTGTGGAATAGCCCATATATATATAGATTTAAATGCGCTCTAATGGAGCGTGCAAAAGGAGCTCTCCTAGCCCCGGAAATTTATTTACCTGCAGCGTGCTCAATGAGATCTGGCCTATTTGCTCGTAAAGCAATTTTCTCTTGATCACCTCGATGGCTTTGCCTTTTTCCGGTCCCTTTTTGATCGGCTCGCGGCCGATCAAGTACAGATACTTGCCGGTCAGTATCAGATCTCTCCTGCAGGCCTGTGTGTAAACAAAAAAACAAACGGGGTCAACGCTCGGGTCATACATATAAGTGTGTAGTGTGTGGGTATGCATGACTACGACCTCTTGCGGAGCAACACAATATATAATAATTAAAATCGCGTGTCATATTATTCCTTTTTTCCTTCTTTTTTTTTTGCGCGCGCGCACCGAATTACCATAATTTTGGCTTTTGCTTGTGCAAATTTTCGCTCGCGACCGATCGATATTATACAGTATGTATGCAGCTCTCGGACAAAGAGCAGCAGCAAGCCAACCAGCCAAGAGAAATCCTAACGCTCGCCGCCGAGGTATACAACAAGAAATAAATATAATTATATATTATTTCGTTGCGGCGAAGAAAAGTGAAACGAGCACATTATTACGCGAGAAACGTGCCGCCGACGCCGAGTCCTGGAAAATTTTTTAAGACTTTTCCGAAATGAATTTGCTGCTTCGATTGCCCGTTTAGTCGCTCTCAAATATAATATACAACCGAGGAAGAAAGAAAAAAGTAGACGTTTCAAGTTCGTTGCGTGAAATCGGAACCGGCGCGGCGCGATCATCACGATGACATTGCCACTGAACGCGCATCTCCCACGAAGAAATAATGTAGATAATACACGCGTGTACGCAACACGCCGTATAATCGAGAGAGAGAGAGAGAGACTTTCCCGAAACTTTTCTCGCGCTCGTGAGAGAATCCGCGTGTATAATACACACACACACACACGTTTGATACATAGGAACGAGAGTAGAAAAGAGAGAGAAAGAGAGAGACAATAGGCAAAAGGCGGAAGAGAGTCGTTATTCGGGAGGAAAAAAAAGATCGGTAACGTCCGATAAATGCGCGCCCGCGGAGTCTCGAGCTTTCACTCCCGCACGAAAAGGATTAAATCGACGAATCTCGCACCTTGAACCTTCGATCGTACTTCTTCACCGTCTCGGCGAAGAATATCTTCTCTCGCTTGCCCACCAGCGACACCAGTCTCGGCTTCATGTCCAGCCCGATATAATCCCCGACGAAGTTTCGATTCAGACTGCCCTTGCGCCTCTGCTTCTGTCCGTATAGCAGATCCGCGGCCTCCTGCTTCTGGGCCGCTTGCCGCTTCTTCGCGAAGAACTTCTTGAAGGCGCGCTGCAGCACGCGCGCGTACATGTTGTACTTGCGATCGCGCGCCTCCTCCAGCATGAACAGGCTCTCGGGCGCCTTGATGAAGAGCTTGCTCCTGCCGAGCTGGTAGCGATCGCGATCGACGCAGGCGCTCGCGAGGATCCACTCGCAGCCCTGGCGCTCGTCGCCGCCCTGCCACCTGGGCCAGGTCTCACGGGTGAGGATGGCGTAGCGCTGCAGGAATTTGGCGAACGGGCGACGATAGACGAAGCCAGCGCGGCGCACCCTGATGTTCTCCTTGAGGCCGAGATACTCGACCTGGTGCTTGACGCCCTGGCCGTCCCAGTCGCGCGGCCGCTTGGTCTCGTTGGGCTTGATGCAGCGTATGTAGTGGGGCGTGCAGCGCATCAGCTGGCTGACGAGGCGCGCCGCCTGGCTGCGGATCTTGCTGCCCGCCGTCGTGGGTCGAGATTTCAGCGTGCGCGTCTTGCCGTTGGCCGCCGTTTCGATCGGATAGATGTCGCGTACGAGGGAGCTGCGAAGGAAAAAAAAGGATTAAAGTTGGCTTACACGTTGAGTTAAAGATCGATTAGTATATAATGACACTCACTTGGTGCTGGTCTGCATGAGCTCGATGAGATCGAGGAACAGAACGTCGCGATTCTTGTCGCAGAACGACTCGACGGAGTAGGCGACGCTGCCGGCATAGTGGCGCACCGCGAAGCCGTCGCTCGTCGCCTGGAAGTGGGCATGCGTACTCGCGGCACCGGCGAATTTCTTCAAAAAAGATACAGATATTAATGACATTAATTATATTATCATGTTAATTTTCACACCCGATGATGCTTACCTTTTGAAGATCGGCATCGGCGCCGCTGCTGCCACCGTGAAGAGTGGCGCAGACGTCGTCGAGAATGAGGAACAGGCCGGGAGGTCGTTTACCCTCCAACAGGTCCACCACGACGGCGTTGTTGAAGAAGTCGATCTGCGTCCACTGAATGTTTTCCGACACGTACTCTTCCTGCAACGGGCAAAGAATTTTTCATTGTCACCGCGTGATTTCAGAATAATTTTTTTTTTTTGTTTTTTGGTATCGAACGAATGCCATATTAAATGTGTACGAATAAAAGCCTAGATCACCCTGTTTTTGCGATACGACTCGCGACGACAAACTATATACGTATTATCTATAAAATATAAGCCGCATGCACGGAGCCGCGCCGCACCTTGTGGCATACTTTCTTCTCGTCGTCGCTCGTTTTCATATCTGTATATAATACGTGTATTACGCTCGCTCGACCGGATCCGCGCGCCGAGCGCGCGGCATTTTCATGCCAAATTATTTCCGGACGGTTTTGCTCTGTATATGCGGTTAAACTTACAAAAAAAAAAAATAGTCGAGAAAAATGCCCAGCGCTGGCTGCTAATGTGAAAATAACAGGACACAGTAGCAGCAGAACAGATAAGTTTTGAATTTTCAACGCAGCAGCAGCCCCATTGATCTCGATTATAACGCGAGGGGTACACCATACATATGTATGAGCGAATGGCAAACACACCATGGCGTATTAGGCCAAAGTAATTGAAGCGTAGTAGCAGCTTCGATATGTACGTATAAGTAAGTCGAGAGCGAAGAGCCTACACGCGCAGTTTGCATAGCGCCCGTACTTTACGATCGTTTTATGAAAAAAAAAATCCATAAATAAAAAATATTTATCAACAACGGTATAAGTCGCGTTGCTGCAGCTCCTCGTCTTTTTACATGGAACACGCCGCGAATATATGTACATAAATTTTTGCGCTCATCTCTCTCGCTCGCTCGAGCTTTCAGAAATGATTCACGGGCACTTGGATGAATTACACATCGCTTCTCTCTCTCTCTCTCTCTCTCTCGAGCCCGGCGCGCACGAAGAAAATCAATGTCACTCGCCGAATGATCTCTCGAAACGCTATGGTCTATGGTGTATACCTTAGATGCAGCTATGTATACGAGTTAACGGAGCGTATATTATTATACGTGTGTATGCACACACATCGCGGCGGACAGATGAGTAGTAGCCCAGCGACATTGTATCTATACTCTGTGTATATAATATGTGTGTTATATACATACATAATGACTCGGTTCCGCTCCGAATTTTTTTTTTTTTATCGCTGTGCCAGACGATGACGACGATGACGCGATCGCTCGTGGGTGCAGCAAAATATGCAGCGCGCAGCATCGCGACGACGTCGCCTAGATATCGCGCTTCGAAACAACAACGACAAAAAAAATAGTCGACCGAGACATTGACAGAGACCGGCGAGACTCGACGCGCGCGACGATTTTTTGTCCTGCAGCTTCTAAGGTCTCGCGTAACTCCTTTGCTTTATTTTTTTTTTAAGGATCGCATAGTATAAGAGTCTGTATTGTAACGATATTACGAGCCGATACGGCGCTACGGAAGCACGATTTTTTTCCTTAATATAGGTACACGAGCGTGACGTTACGTTTTGTCCGCGTACTATTTATCTAGATGTATATGAATTCTCCACATAGGTCTCTCGTTGTAAAAGTTATACATATAATACAGATTTACAGATTACATTATCGATATGGCGCGCGTACACACATAATATAAACAAAACAAGCATCCGCACTCTAGTCGGAGGAAAAAGTATAATAATAAGTATATAACGGGCCCCGCGGGTAGTTACGAGCTCAGCGAGCGTGAAAAACGCCGAATCAATTTGTAATACACAACTATATAGATGTACTCGAGTAACATCCTGCGACGACGATGACGACGATTAGAGAAAAGTAGGGTAAAAATGTGCGAATCGATTACGCTCGAAAAACGATATATATTATTATATTTTATTTTATTATATACGTACGCGAGCGTAAAACGATCGTCGCGCAGCATAGAGGGGAAAAATCGTTTTGTTACGATCGGTAATTACATTTAAGCCGATAGGATCGCGACGCCGCCACTGCTCCGCGTCGACGTTTTAATTATACGTATATAAACACACATACGGCGACCGACGACGACGAGAAGTCCGCGCGCGCATGATTCATCGTTTTATAACGTTTATAATTGCCTTTCGCGTCTCTTCCTCTATTTTCGCGTATTGTATACGCTCGTAGAGAGAGACCTCGATACATCGAGGAGGATAGAGGAGGACAAACCGAAGATCCGCGGACGATCGGTATTGTTTTCTGCGCGCGACGTACCATTCACAATCGATGCATCATATAGAAATGCGCAACCTGTTAACGAGCTCTCGTATATCGCGGTATATCGATCATAATTCGAGAGAGTCTTTGTTTGGCAGCAGCCCCATATGCGTGCCCATCGATACTCGTTACAATGCCACTATATCATGGTATAATTAAGAAAATAGCCTCTCTCGCTCGACGCCTACGCCTATCGCGCAGAAAATATATAATATTTATAATGAGCTTTATTTATGAAAATCGCGGAAGATTATTGTGAATCGACGATGGTTATATTTTTGCGTCGTAAGCACGTAATAATAGCATAATTGTCGCGCACAGCGCAACACAGATCGTATTATATTCGTATATAATTTAAGGAGCTAAGCTGCGTCGTCGTTTTTGATGGATGATTTCATTTCAATACTATATACTCGCTCGGTGCTGCGCATCTGACTATATGTGCTTATTATCCCCTCGGTTACGTTACTAAAGAATTAACAATTTAAAATTGTCTGTTGGTACGTCAACGAAAACAATCGAATTGTGTGTGTTGTGTACGCTTACATAGAATTATCGATCCGAAAGAGATGCACAACGACGCGACCGGCGTTGGTTTGCGGTCAGTTAATGCGTACGCAGCAGATATAGAAAGTTATAATGATCGGGTGAGCAATTAAACGAAAGTATAGCGGACGTGTTGGTGCATTTTTGACAATCGATACGCTACATAATAATGTAATGTTTAAAATAAGGAGCTTTCTTTATCGTCCGACCGAGGCAGCGACGGCGGTGAGCCGCCCGAAATATTTTCGAACAAGTTCGGCTTTTCCTAAGCCGCAATTCAGTATATAGCACGTGATGACTTTGACTTTCAAAATAGCGCGCGCGCGACCAAAAACCGCAAATTACTCGCGTGCTCGTGCGCTCGAACTATCGTATATAAGAAAATAAAAAGCTGAGCAAAAAAAAAACAAAACTTAAAAGAGAGCTGCTCATATATACAGCTGCACTTTGCATTCCCGATGAATCGCGGACACACAATGACGAGGCGAATAATAATATAATTTCTCATTGGCCCCGTGTAGCGACCGTAAACGCGCTAATCGCCGCTGTCATCGTGGCGCTTAGAGAAATAAAATCATCCGCGTACGTACGTACGTAAATGTATAGGCGCGCGCGATAACGCGGAAGCCGACCGCGACCGCGCAGTTTTTATTATTGCTACAAAACGCGCTTAGACATAAACCTAGATGAGAATTGAGACTAAATATATATTATTGCGCGTGTACTTACGCACGCATACATATATCCTATACGCGCGTTCCAAAACATTAAAACCGAAAATTAGTGTTAAAACGATCGTTTCAGCGAGTCACTTATCTCTCTTACTCTCTCGTGCGGCTGTGTGCTTCGACTTTTGCTACTGCCCTCGTCTCTTTGTACATATACGCGTATACACCAGCAAGAGAGAGAGAGAGAGAGAGAGAGCAAAGTAGCTCGCGTTTGGCCTCAACAGCAGCTCGCGCCTGACCCAATTGCAGGTATACACACACTCATATACACACGAAAATTATATCATTGAAATATCGCTCGGTGTGTGCGTTATACAATTTTGCAAAAAGCTCTCGCGGCCGTTAATTTTCGTTTCATAATAATCCAGCTCCAACGTCGCGATATTATAAATTCAGGAGGGCCGATTATTGCTTCTCTTTTTATATTACCTTCTCTCAGTCTCTCTCTCTGCCTCCCTCGTGGTGCACCGATCGTTTGACGTTCAAGCGCACGGCGGAACGATCTATATTATATGTACATTGCGAAACGATATCTCAGCTCTGATTTTGACACGTTTTATTGCCGCGGCCTCGTTAGAGAGTATGTAAATATTAACCAAAGCCGAATTTTATTCTATTTTTTTTAATAGCGCGGTAAAATTGAATATGAATTTTGTTATCCTTTATTTTTTCTTCATCATGCATAATGCATGTATAAGCGCCTATATCTCGGCCCAGTACGCTTATTTTTTCTCAAATACATCAGTGCGTTTCAATTTTCGAAGCTATTGACGATGCGCGCGTTTGCGAAAGTTGGTTGTATATAGAAAACGGCGGCGTACTGCTGCATTTTTCGTTTTCTTTGCCCCGCGCGCGCAATGTGCGATGATTAATAGTCGCGTCAGTGGTAACGGTAGTAGTAGCTAACTGCTGCCGCTGCTGCTATGGTGGATTGCAAACGTCAGTAGCTCAAGAAAAGAGAGAGAGAGAGAGCAAAAGATTTAAGCTGCCTCGTATTTTCAAATTATAAATAGCCCAGGATAATTGAGCGCGCGCGCGAGCGGGACCCCGTTAAACGGGCGCTATATTAGTCCAAGCGTTGGATATGTATACGCGCGCGCGCGATTTAAATGTTCAATAATAACGATCCATCCTATGGCTGCCGCGTGCGTTACTACTACCTATATTACCTGCCGCGTGTATAAGAGAAGAATATTAGAATTTCTCGATGTGCTACTGCGCACGCATAATATAACGCACACACACACGTATTGCTATGCGCGATCGGCAATGGAAGTATGTATATAAATGGGTACTTTTATAAAGCAACTGCATATACAGTAGTTTTTAATACTCGGAAGGCCACGACTTTCACGAGTTCGTCGATACTTTTCGCAATTCGACTGCGCGACAATATATTACGGTGTATTCGATCCGGCCGAGGTTCGATACTTTGGAAATCGCGAGAGAGAGAGAGAGAAAAAAAATCCATTAAAATCGTATCCATCTCGACGTTGCATTGTGCGCCTAAGAAAAGCGCCACTACTG